TTTGAATAATTACTCAGACCTTTGTACCCAACTTACAGTAAACTCTGCTCATTTCTGAAAGTTACAACTCTGTAAATTATGTTGCACTAATATCAATTAGACATTGGAAGTATGACACAATACTTGAGTTACATTACATGAATAAATCTTGATAGGATCTATAGGCAGAGGACCTGCATGGTAGAAATCTCAAGTTTGGTGAAGTAGTACAGATTTCAACAGTTAAGCCAGTTAATACCTGATCCAGTAAAAAACCTGAGCAAGAAGGATGTGAGATCGATAGGTACGAGTAAGTTCACTACATAACACAGCCTAGTGCCTTGCATTAGTGGCAATACCAACTTGGCTTGGTAGCTAACTAGATTGGGAGGATCTACCTCATGAAATATTCAACTAGAACTTGGAGAACTATATCTGGTGGACAGCTACAGCAGGAACTAGATTTGTATGAACATCGACAAGGGTCTAATTCAGGTGAATCCATGAAATAGGCACATGATCACTCTGGTAGGAAATACTTCTGAGGTTAACTGAAGCTCTGCAGCTCATAATATGTTAGGCATACACATCCTGAGAGGACCTAAGCTATGCAGAAAAATAGACCTGTAGGTGAACTAGCTGGTGTAAGCAGTTAGTCATAGTGGTGATATTAGTTTAGAATAGAAAAAAGGTTAATAATCAGAGTGTTTAAATAAGTAATTCACAGGCAGGTTGCAGATATGGCAACATAGTGTAGAACCAACAGATAGTTGATCATCTGTATGGTGGACTACTTAAATTAGACAATGACTAAAGTTGTACATGTGACTTGTTGTATACTCATCATGTAACTGTAAAACCTTAGAAAACTGTTTATGTGATAGTTCCGCAATAACAAACTAATAAAAATCTAATCGGCCAAAGAAGTGGCCTTAATAACAAAAAAAAAAAGTAATATAGTTGATATTCAATTTGATTAATTAATAAATATAAATAATAAATATGATCACTAACTAATCAAATTAATCACAAAATCTAATATATGAGTAACTAATATACTTTAGTTTTTATCTAAACAATTACAACTTATATGTACAAGATAAACTATTATAGTTTAGAATTTTGTTAAACATCGCAAGTTGCGATATCGCAGGTTAATATTTAAAAAAAAAATTAAAATTAGGATTAGTTAAGGTTAGGGTTCGAGCTAGTATTAGGGTTAGGGTTAGAGAGCATATATATATGCAAAATTAAGAGCTGAAAACTTTTAATTAGAAACCCAAGACTAGTTTACATAATAAAATTTTAAGATATTTAAAATTTTTAATTTTTTTCTAATTTTTGTTCGTTTTTGTTACACAAGATCCTGTAATCTAATTGGTCAGTCATATTAAACTGCGATATCGCAACCTGCGATATTTAACAAAATCCTATAGTTTATATAAGAAGAAATTTACTAATTTCTAAATGTACTAAAAGTTGAAATGAAATTTTAAATCCCATCCAAGTGGTTAAGAATAATTTTTTTTTTATCCAAAGTTGGTTCTGAATTTATATACTGTATTAAATTTATAAGCTTTAGAATTTTCACCGGGCATTAAGGTAAGCATGTTAACACTGTAATCGTTTTCGTTAAGACAAACGAAGTGGTACAAAAATTACTTGACTTTTAATCATGAATATCGAAATTATAATACTTTTTTTTTTTTTTTTTACAAAGCAAATCAAAAACTTCCATCATATTAAGTAAAGTTGTATATGGTATTAAATTATAAGTTTTTAATTAAAATTTTTAAAATAATATACGTATTAAATTTTACATAACAAATAACATAAAATTTTAAACTACACCTTGAAATATAGTAAAAATAATTATGGCTAGACCTTCCTGGGTATATCGCTTCTGAATTATCGCTATTGTGAAAAAAATTTAGCACCGAATTTGGTCTATCTGCTAATCTATTCACGTTTCACAGAGAACTTTAAAATATATTTGTGTAAAAGATCTATGTTAGAATTCTTTAAAAGAACGCCTATAAATTAAAATTTTATCATCATGTAATGACTAAAAAATTTTCAATAAATATATTTATTTTTTTATTGTTATAAATCTGTTATAAACTTTGTTTTTACGTCATCATGGATGAAAAGATTGAATTTGAATCGTATTTGAAATCTGCTGAAGGTGGTAATTCTCAAGGACAATTTAATCTTGGATTGTGTTATCATTATGGTATAGACACAGCTAAAGATGAAAAAAAGGCATTTGAGTGGTATTTGAAATCTGCTGAAGGTGGCAATTCTCTTGGACAATGTAATCTTGGAGTCTGCTATGAAAATGGCATAGGCACAGCTAAGGATGAAAAAAAGGCATTTGAATGGTATTTGAAATCTGCTGAAGGTGGAAATTCTCAAGGACAACGTAATCTTGGATTCTGCTATGAAAAAGGCATAGGCACAGCTAAGGATGAAAAAAAGGCATTTGAATGGTATCTGAAATCTGCTGAAGGTGGCAATTCTCTTGGACAATATAATCTTAGACTCTGCTATGAAAATGGCATAGGCACAGCTAAGGATGAAAAAAAGGTATTTGAATGGTATTTGAAATCTGCTGAAGGTGGCAATTCGAATGGACAATGTAATTTTGGACTCTGCTATGAAAATGGCATAGGCACAGCTAAGGATGAAAAAAAGGCATTTGAATGGTATTTGAAATCCGCTGAAGGTGGCAATTCTCAAGGACAATGTAATCTTGCAGTGTGTTATTGGGATGGTATTGGCACTACAAAAGATGAAAAAAAGGCGTTTGAGTGGTGTTTGAAATCTGCTGAAGGTGGCAATTTTCAAGGACAACATAATCTTGGAAACTGCTACAAGAATGGCATAGGCACAGCTAAGGATGAAAAAAAAGCATTTGAGTGGTATTTGAAATCTGCTGAAGGTGGCGATTCTCTTGGACAATTTAATCTTGGAATGTGCTATAAAGAAGGCATGGGCACAGCTAAGGATGAGAAAAAGGCATTTGAGTGGTATTTGAAATCTGCTGAAGGTGGCAATTCGAATGGACAATGTAATCTTGGATTCTGCTACAGGTATGGCATAGGCACAGCTATAGATAAAAAGAAAGATTTTGAGTGGCATTTGAAATCTGCTGAAGGTGGCAATTCAACTGGACAATATAATCTTGCAATGTGTTATCATGATGGTATTGGCACAGCCAAGGATGAAAAAAAGGCATTTGAATGGTATTTAAGATCAGCTGAAGGTGGCAATTCGAATGGGCAATATCAAGTTGGATTATGTTATTGAAATGGATATGGAACATCGCCTAATCAAGAAAAAGCTGTTGAATGGCTGCAAAAATCCAAAAACAATGATAAATTTCAAAAAACGGATGATTATGAAAATCTTAGTGATTCTATAAAAAGTTTATTAATTGTAAAAATGTTGGGTTTTCGGTTCCAATATTTGAATATGCAATTAACTTTTAAAATTACAAATATTAATAATAGAATATAAATATCACAAAAGTATGAAAATTTGCACCATCTATATTTACCTCTTTTATAAGCTCTTTGCAACTATTCTTTGATCCATTAAATAATTTAAGTGCAACAATTTTATTTGAAATGACACCATCTGTCGTTGTGCGTTTCCAATTAGCAGTATACACTGTTGAAAACCCACCTTTTCCAATTTTACTTCCAAATTTCAATTCATCAAATGAAATCCATAGTTTTAATAAATTATTTTCAATTAATAAACTTTTTATAGAATCACTAAGATTTTCATAATCAACCGTTTTTTGAAAATTATCTTTTCTTTTGGCTTTTTGCAGCCATTCAACAGCCTTTTCTTAATTAGGCGATGTTCCATATCCATTTCGATAACATAATCCAACTTCATATTGCCTATCCGAATTACCACCTTTAGCAGTTCTTAAATACCATTCAAACGCCTTTTTTTCGTCTTTTGTAGTGTACCGATAGCAAACCGCAAGATTATATTGTCCTTGAGAATTGCCACCTTCAGCAGATTTCAAATGCCACTCAAATGCCTTTTTTTCATCCTTAGCTGTGCTTTTACCATAATGATAACACCATCCAAGATTAAATTGTCCTTTAGAATTACCACCTTCAGCAGATTTCAAATACGATTCAAATTTAATGTTTTCATCCATTATGACGTAAGAACAAAAAATATGTCTTAACAGATTTATAACAATAAAAATATAAAATTTTTAATTATGAAATTTAAATTTATAGGTGATCTTTTAAAGAACTCTAACATATATCATTACACAAGTATATTTTAAAGTTCTCTTTGAAATGTAGTATTAGGTAAATTTCGTTTACGAATAACGATAGATTAGCGGCACAACCAAAATTCAGTAGATCGACCAAATTTCAGTTGTTAAACGGTATATATATTTTTTTTTCACAATAGTTCATAAGCGATATACTCAGGAAGGTCTGGCTGTAATTATTTTTACTATATTTCATGAAATTTTATATACATATTTGTAATATTTAATAAAAATCGCAATAATTATCTGTTATCTGTTATTTAAAAATTTATATAATATAATTAGACAAATTATTTTGAAAAAAATTTATTACGCTTTTTAAAATTACTGTGTTAAAAATTATTTTATTGATTTTTTAACCAATCATATATTAGATATTGTACCAATAATTAGTACGTAAATAAATAAGTATACGTATAATAGTTTAATAATTATATAAATGCTTAATTTATTTTTTATTTTAATTTAATTGAAGAGTGTCGACTTAAAGATACTGTATTTTATAAGGTTTATAGTTGAAATTTGTAGTTTATTCTGATTTTTAGGGTAGTAATATTTTACAAATAGGGTTATCTAAAAATTATGATGAAATGTTTTTTGTGCTAGAAATGGCATTGAAGACATTGTGTTAGAGATATCAACTACTATAAACAAAGATTATAAATATATTTTGAGTGTAATTTTATGTAGTGGTGATATATTTTTTTATGCTTAATTATAAAGACTTCTTTTCAGCTAAAATAAATACACTACAAAAAGATATTGATAACAGTTCATTATCATTCCAACCTTCAGCTTCTTTCATATTAGAAATTAGTTCATCAACAAGATCTTTTCCATTTGGATTTTTCTCCAAATAATTTGTATAAGCACTCATTGTCTTTTAAAATTAAATAAATACATATTAGATATCTTTAATTAACTGTAATTTAAATTTATTTTTCTGAAAAAACTTACCCTCAAATAATTTTCATATTGAGAAACATTCCACTTAACTACAACTTGCTGATTTTTATCTTCATTATTTTCTTCATCACATATTTCCTGTTGAATGTTTTGATATAATTCCTCAGGAAATTTAATATCTTTATATAAATTATTAACAGTATATATACTTTTCTCGAAATAAGAGTACATAGTATTCATATGAAATTCTCTTGATAATTTAGTTGCAACAGGTGCATTTTTGAAAATACCATATTTATAAGCCCAAATAGCTAAGGTTCCATTTGATTTCAAAACACGATGTGATTCTTGAAAAAATTTTTTTAAATCAAACCAATGAAAAGCTCTAGCTACTGTTAATAAATCAACTGAAAAGTCTTTAAAATAAGATAAATCTTCAGCATTTCCAACTAAATATTGGATATTTGGTTTACAAATAGCATTTTGTAACATCACTGATGATGAATTAATACCATAAACTTTATTGAATGAATTCGATAAAATATTTGCTACTTGTCCTGTACCAGTTCCTGCATCTAATGCAAGATCAAAAGATCCATTATGAGATTTATGATAATTATAAATTTTTTCAAATAAACTTTGAGCATAACTAAAAACCAATAATAATTAATATATTGTTTATCACTTAACGTTGATAAAAAGATCAAAAACTCATGTAGGACGATAAGAGATATAGCTTTTACTATCAAAATTAACTTTAGAGAAAGTTGACATTTTTATTTTTTTTTTAAGGAAAACAGATTACATTGCATTTTATAGCATAGTGGGCTTTAAATTTGGTTGGATAATAGACTCGACAATTTGTCATTATTTGTGAAACTTATTTTTTGTAATCCCAACTAATAAAGAAACCTGACTATATTTAGGTTTATTACTATCGAATTACTATTTTTGTATTATATATGTATACCGCTATAATATTTAACCCCCTTTCTATTTTTTTTGTCGGCATATCTCTGATCATTGCCATATATATATATAATTGTTCATGTATATTTAATCGTATTGGCTTTAGTCTTTGCCCGTGATCCGCCACATTTCCTTTTTGACTAAAACGGAATAGATTTTCA